GAGTTCTTAACTGTTACACGTCTATGAAACTAAAGTAGGTATGTCACAGTAATCCTTAAAAAATGCAGTGACGTTGTGACAAGTTCCCAACCCTTTTAAAATCTAATCTAATCTTTACCATACTTAATGTATATTTAATGCAGACAAACATTTGATTTGATATAATATCATTTATGCGCTCATCCTGGTCATCACCAGTAAGGTTTTTATTATAATTGTCAATTTTAGATCGTCTACTACCTAATATAAATTATTATTTTGATACTTTTTAGTTGTGTTTATATTAATAATATAATGTGTTTTGTGCAAATATGCTCATACTTTTGTGTTTTTTGCGTCAGAAAGGTCCAAAATCTGCCTTGCTTGGTGGCCCTTGCTGTCAACGTATAACTGTCACTTTTCATTGTAAACAACAACAATTTCAGATTTGACTTGACCATGATTGTTTGCTTAAGAAGATTCTTAAGCACCGTGTTTTAGATATTAAGGGGTTTTCATTGCATTTTTTTCTTGCTTGAAGTTCTCTCAAACACCCTGTATGTCGGTAAATACTATATTTTTCGCTTCATTTTCCAAAGTTTAAGCACTTTAGAATAAAACGTCCTGTATATATTTTTTTATTATACAAAATCTTATACATATTCAGAATAATTTTCTGCTAAGTATATTTAAATCAAATAGTTAAATAGTTATATAAAATGCTAACATTTGTTTTAAAAATTGCACCAAAACTGAAAAGGATAGACATTGCTGTCAAACTGGATCTGTGTAGAGTATTATTGTGCTTTCACATTCAAGTGAATAAATAATTAGCTTGGAGCAATGTTGAGAACTATTGAATTTCTTCTTGTATTTCTTCTTGTGATTATTAAATCACAGTTGAAATCAATTTATTTTCGCATTTTTTTCTGTTCTGCATAGATTCTTCAATGTATTCCAATATCGAGTCCTTTCTGCTCTCAAATAATAAAATTTCCTAGAGATAAACTGTACTACAGCTGAATGAAATACTGACCGTGTGTGGACGCTTAAAAGTTGAAGTTTCTTAAAGAGAGAAATTATATATGCTAGTGTTCAACGTTTCGAAATAATTGCAGAAAATAAAGATTTTTTAAAAGCTATTTTAATACTTTATTTTATATGTTTTCTTGTTTATTGCGTTGCAATAATATCGGTAAAAATAAAAAAGGAGCTCTTGGTTTGTGAAGCTCGAATACTCTATGTTATATTTTTGACTGATGAGTATAGAAAATATTTCGCAAAATTTGTTGACCATTTTAATCAAGAATAATAAAATTTAAAAAAATAAAACAGATTTTTTTGACGTATGTCTCTTCAAATCGGGTAGACTTCATTACCCAAAAAGTGTTCTTTGGAAATATGTATTAGCCAGTTTTGGACCATTTAATATTCGAAATAGATTTCTCTTCATAAGACAAAAATTTGAATTAACCAATTTCATCTAATTATGGACGAGAATTCGTCAGGCTGATATACCTTGTGATCAAAAAAGAACGAGAATTTTGATTTTTGAATTCCCGCGCTTATCCAATCGGTAAATTTATACACTCTTACGTGCTGACATCAACTTTTCGGTGCAAGCATTCACTCATATTTTATGTATAGAATATAATTAATAGAATTAATGAATAAATACATTTTAACACGTGTTAAACACATTAATTGCTGTTTTGAATAATATTCTGCTAGAGCAGAGTTTTTAAACCACCGGTTGGCTGCTCGATATTGTATTTTTATCTATAACTATATTATTTTTTAGAAGAAACGGGGCTCCGCTGCCTACGAGCTTCGCTTCCAAGTCCTCGTTCTATTCATATGTACTCTTACATATTGAACAATATGTATGTGCTTTTAATATTCTCGACAAGTTCTTAAAAAAAATTTGATGTCTATTCTGGAGAGTAGTAAAAGCACAATATGAAAGAGTATGTAGACAGAATGTTTGTTTTTCTTCATGCAATCCCAACATTAAACATTACGACTTAATTTTACTTTTTGATACAAATCAAATAAAAATAGAAAAGACATGACATAATGACATTAAAACAGAAATGACCAGACACATTATTATAATTATTTATAATAGATAGATATTGGTCCCAGTCCCTACAATATTGGTACAATTCGTTGAATATTTAAGCAGTTCTTGTAAAATATATTAAGAAGACATTTTAGCTTCTCCCAATCGAACAAAACTATTTAACAAAAATAATATGTCTTTATGATTTATTTATTGTTGTGATAAATAATATATTTCGATTTATTAGAAGTTATTTTTGGTAAATTTATTACATGCACTATTAAAAAAACGAATACTTTATATCATTTTATGCAGAAATTGCGAAGAATGGAATGGATGGTTGTATGGAACATTTCCTGACATCACCAAAGTAAATAAAATACCATCGGGAGAATATCACATAAGTTATAGGCATATTTGATCTACTGTAGATACTAAAATGAAGTACATAATTATTAATTGAGGTAAAAATATCAGAATTATATTCAGCATTAGAAATAAAAAGAATGTAAATCAAATAGTTTGAACTAATCAAGTTTGATCAAATTTTATAGTACTCTCTTGAATGGCTGCAAAATTTGCAAGATTAAGTAATTAACCATCAATAATTTTTTTGAAATGTTTTTAAGATCCCGTTATAATTGTCATACAGCTGTTATCAATTAAAGCGACAAGTATTCGAGATGTCTTCTGTCAAGGGTGCATTTAATTTCTACCAAATCTTCTTCGTTCAGATTAACGAAAATACGCATAACCAAAAGATGTTTCACCTATTTTTTTATGTGCTATATTGCACCTGTTCCTTAGCCCAAACGCACAATATTATATGTCTGTTCAATATTGTTTCTCTCTCTTTCGAACATACCCGTATGCATACTTCTTTATGAATGGTATTGCAAGTAATAAGCTTTATAGGTATGTATGGTTTTTATATATAATCTTCGATACTGTCTTCAATACAGACATATTACTTCCTTTATTCACAATCATTTGAACTTAATAAATATAAGTAAATAATAATGTTATAAAAATTATTTAAATGAGTACCTGCTTATAGTAGTTGAAAAGCTTCATAATGAACAATTCTTCAGATTGTAATAGAATGTAAACGTTTGTGAATATGTTTAAAATAAAAAGAACATAAAATAACATAAAATATATGTATTAAAAATTAAGATTTTAGTTCCTATTAGCATAGGAAATGATTTAATTCATTTATATTTCTATGATATATTAGCTTTTTTATTTGGATAACACTAAAAACTGTGAGATTACTATAAAGCCATTTTACCCTCACAAACCATTGTCCAAGCCAAACCTTTTTCTTAAAAACGTTGCCCACATTATCCACATTCCTTAAAGTTTCGGATTCGAAGAAGCCGTTCCTTTTTAAAACGAGCGAAGCAATATTTAAATATCCGCAATCTTGATTAATTTAAACCAAAACTCGTTTCTCCTTCCAAAAACTGTTTGTATAAAAATAAATTATCGCGTAATACGTTATGAAGAAGGAAATGAATTATTTTAATGTAAATCTTCTTTGAATTGTGGAAGATAAATGAAAGCTTATAGCATTTGTATGAAAATCGGATTCCCGAATACTAACTACTGCGTTACTGCATTACTGCGTTACTACTTCACTACTTCACTGCATTACTCGTTGATCATCGAGCAGAGGCAGCTGCTGATTTATAAATTACTTTGATGTGCTTTGTTCTTGAGATTACGCACTGTCTTATGTACAATATATATATGTACAATATTTAAACAATATCGGAAACGCTAGTGTTTATCATAATATAAGAATACAATAAGCGTATTAATATTAATTATAATAACAAAAACAATACCAGTTGCATATCGTTAAATGGAAACAAACAACTTTGTTGTGAAATTAGTGCTATTATTTTATTGTAAATGAGTTAAATTTTAACAAGTAGGGAAAAGTATCTGAGTAACGAAAATTATATTGAAATAAAAAATATAATAAATTCGAGTGTAATAGATATAAATTCACAGCAAGTATATGGATGCTTTGC